GATGTCATAATTCCCTGAAAATTCTTAATGTTTCCTGACATATGTGATAGTTCAAGTCTAGAACAATCCCCAGACTTGTGTGATAAAGGTTTATCTTATGTTCTTAGTAAGAAGTGGTTAAGTATTAAAAGCAGATTTAATAGTCTTTTGTAGTAATAGAACTGAGCAACCACAGGCATTTGGTACCAAAAAGTAGTGCCTTGCCAGCTAAGGTTATGGGTTTCTTCCTGGCACTACTGCAAGGCACAAGATACCACCCTTAGACATTATTTCTGGGTAGTGACTCTAGGGTAGGACTCTATGCCCAGCACTAGCCTAATACTGAGTTCTAACTTCAAAGTAGTTCATTACTAACTCACCCGAGCCAAAGGGCTCTTGCTTCACTCCCTGTTGCTTGCAGCTGGGGATGCTGGCTGGGGGTTAACACGGACAACCCTTCTTGCCTTTCTAGGACACCTTTTATTACTATTATGTCAAAACCAGGTACTGCATTCTCTCATCTTGTTCCAGTAGCTCTTGTGAAGGTAGTTTCATGTGAGTATAAAGCCAACCTGAAGTTTCTGAGGGATATAGGTGACTAGAGAGGCCTACTATATCATATTGTCTTATCCTCTCCCATTATGTAACATTGCAGTTATTCTGAATTTTTTATCTGTTAACTCCAAAATATCTACTATATTCGAGTTAGCCTCTGATGTTTCCTTTCCTTCCTGTTTTTTGTTTTGTTTTGTTTTGTGTTTTTGTGTGTGTTAACATGTCTTTTCTTACAAGCTAGGTATTATGTGCTGGTTATAAATATTGCTATGGATTTTTAGGTTCCTGTCTAGGATTCCTGCTATGTTTACTGCTATGTTGATGTAGTAGCAAGCTTGGGTAGAAGGGGGTCATTCTCCAGCATTATGATTGATGATAATCATTCAGTACCATCATCTATGGTGTTCAGAAGTATTTCTCAGCCTTTTGCCCCTGGGATGAGGCTGAAATGTTGCAGGGCTGGAGGTGGACATGTATGTCTTTTCTTTCCCTTCAGTTGGGTTCTTGAAATTTCCTTTGAGGATAATGGAGAACTGACTGCTCCTGGTGTGCCTCAGAATGGTTGGTCTTCAGCCTATGTGGCACACCTACAATCCCAGCACCTGGGAATCTGATGTAGGAGAGCCATGACCTCAGGGTCAGTCTAAGCTACATTGTCTCAGAATGGAGTGGGAGTGTTTTTCTCCTTCTACTGACAGAAACTCAAGGAGATTGAAGTCTTCTCAATGAAAACCTGGTGCAGCTTGGAGAAGGAGCACCGAGGTATCAAGACGACACACACACACACACACACACACACACACACACACACACACACACACACGAGGTTTTAAGTCTCTAGAGTCCCTGCACTGAGCCTCTAGCAAGTCACCAAGCAACAACGTTTAAGAGCCTTAACAGTGGAATCATCAGCAGTGTTCAAATCACGAACTTTTGATCACAGGTTGGAGAATAAGGTACATTCGTCGTCAGGCTCTGCCCACTGAGACAGTCACTTCTCAGTTTGCTGGTGGCCCTCAGAGAGTGACTGACTTTGCTCATGCAGTATTTTCCTTGAGGAGAGAAGAGCACCACTAGCCGCCCACTGGAATGGAAAGCAGATCTTCCAGAATGCAAATTTTAAATTAGATGTATTGAACAAGAAGTCTTCAGCATGGAGCCAGTGTTCTCTCAGTTCCCCTCCTTTAAAGAGGAAAAGGATTATGCTGATCCCTTTAGAAATGAAACAATGAAATTTTATAACTTGACTATGAAAACAGGTTAGTGCATGCTAGCATCTAAAGTAGACTAATTCTAAGACCTTGTGTTTTCTTTTTTAAATTAAGCTTGGCATCCTTCATATTCTTCATGTATTTAGTTGTTGTTGTTTCTTGAAACAGGGTCTTGCTGTATAGCCCAGGCTGGCTTTGGATTCAAAATCCTACCTTACTCTGGGATCCAAGGAGTGTAGCAGCAGGCCCAGCATGTCCCTGCCACCCTCCCTAGCTCACTTCTGGGGTGAAGAGGATGTGAGTAACAGTTTGAGTCTGTGAAGCTCTACTCCATCTCTCCATCCAAATCATTGATGCACTCAAGACTGGCTGGGAAGTTTAAATGAACAGGCAGTTTAGAGCTCAAGCCCGGATACAGGAAAGCCTATAGCCTATGTGTTCCTGTCCTCAGCCACCAAGATCCTTGACTCTGACCTTACGCTGTGCTAACTACAGTCCTTCTGAGCTGACAGCCTTCCTATTTCCTATCAGCTTTTGCTGATCATCTCTAAAAGGCCCCACTGACTTTGATAATAACAAGAGATGCAAATTCAGAATTTAAAAATGTGATAATGTCAGTTTAAGTTGGTAAAATTTAAAGTTCATATTTCTAGACCCAAGGAAGTGATAACTAAAACATGTTGACCAAAAAAACCTTGAATACTTGGTCAAAAATGGTCCAGATCCCAATCATACATTGTGGAACATTTTCTCCCAGCCCCCTCCCTGACTCCACACTAGGGAAAGGCTTTCTGGCCAGATGTGCTTGGAAATTAATTTATCCCACATCAATGATGTGTCTGGAGTAATCTGCAGAAAGTAGCCAAACAGTACCACTTACCTCATGCCAGGAAATAAAGGCTGAGCATGGCAGCATATACCTGTGATCCCAATACATTGTGGGACAGGACAAAAGGACTGAATCTCGGGACAGCCTGAGCTTTACAGTAAGACTCTATCAACACACACACACACACACACACACACACACACACACACACACACACACACGAGATGGAAATGGAGATGTGTCATTAGTAAGGTTAAAAATCCGTGTAGGTTCACTAAGCATTCAGAGAAGAAAGTAAAATATCACTACGTTATCTATAATGTTGGATATATACTACTGGCAGACATTTGTAGATTCCTAATTAATCAACTATTAATCAAAACATGGCTTAAATGGGCTTGTTCTACACAATACAGAACTGTGATATTGCTGACTGAACTTAAATAGAGCTATGTTCTGTCCTTCTGCAGATTGCACTCTGGATGTCTATCCTAGAGAAGTTCCCGTGCTTACTTCCAGGGATGTGTAAGAGAGTATCCGTCACAATACTGTTTGCAGAAAGTAGAGGAGGGGCACAGCCTGAGTGTCCTTAATTGGAAAGATAAATAGTCTAAAACGTAGTCCCTACAAAACCACACCCTCACACAACAATTTGCAATAAGCACCTCATTTTGAAGGTGATTTGGGGAAGTGCTGGTGGAGGAGGAGACACCGAGACCAGGACAGCATCAACTCCTCTACAAAGGGTGCGCTGTTGGAGGCTGTCTGTTGACAAAGGAGGCAAAAATCTCTCTGAATCACACCAAGAGAAAGTGCTGTGCAAGTCTCGGAATGTCCCCAGCCAAGCAGAAAGGAAATAGGGATGTGTGTCCTCCAGCTCACTTCATTCTTGGGTGTGGTGTGTACCGGGGGCACACATTTGTGTGCCTGATATACCCAGCCAGGCGTAGCCCACAAGAGAGTACTGTGGTAGAGAGTTTCAGGTTATTCACCGGGAAATGATCAGAATGTCCAGGACATCTGATGCCAGAAGCATCAATTCTTTCATAAACATGACAGTTATCCATTGCTAGTGGAAACAGAAACTAGTGCAACCACTACAGAAATCTGTGTGGAGCTCCCTCAAAAAGTTCAACTGCTGCCTCGTGACCAGTTTTGAGCGTATACCTAAAGGACTCTATATATTACCACAGAGATATCTGTACACCTTTATTTATTAATTCCCTATTCACAACTGCAAGGAAATGGAATCAGCCTGGATATCCATGAGCAGAGGAACGGATAATGAAATGTGGCACGTTTATGTAATGGAACTATACAAAGAAAATAGAATTATGAATCATTTGCAGGGAAATAAGTAGAAACAGAAAGTATTGGATTAAGTGAGGTAACTCAGTCTCAGAAAGATAAAAACTACATGCTCTTTCATATGCAGATCCTAACTATTAATGACTGTGTATGTAAATGAGATATGGCAGTGGGTATAGACTATGAAATTTTATAGAAGACCATGAGGGCACAGGGGTATTGAGAGGGGAGGAAAGGAGAGGGAAGATCCTCTGTCGTCTGAAGATGGGAGGGAGCTCCTGGAGTGGGAGGGCACAAGGAGGACAGGAAGATGGGCAAGAAAGAATAAAAGTGAAGAGAAACAATAAAAACAAATGTCGATTAGAAAATGCCCTAATAAAACTAATTTTTGGTATGCTGATCTAAATTATATATAAATCTAAATTATATATAAATATATTATAGATATTACATTTATACCTTATATAAATATAATGTGTATATTACATATGCTTATATAAGATATATAAAAATTTATATATTTATCTCCAAAACACAGACATTTCCATCTATATAACATAGATGGAAATGTCTAAGAAACATCAAGAATTGTAGACTAATGCCTTTACTATAATTTGAAAAATACAAGCAGAGCAAATTGGCACTGATGTCACATCCATAGATATATTTTGGACGTTACCTGGTGCCTTTGGTAGAGATGTAAATGGGAGTGAGTTTAGGAAAGGGAAGAAAGATGAAAACTGGAATAAGACTATCCTAGCTGGTAGTGTGAATAATCCTCTGCTTTGCCGGGCCCTTTCCCATGCTCTGACCTTCCACATTAACTCAGGCATAGTCTGATCTCAGGCTCTCAGCGGGAAGGAACAACATGAATGGCAGAGAGCCCCTCACAACCTGAGGCATGAGAATCACCAGGCAGGGAAACCCTCAGCGCCTTCGCTTGGAAGGACTAGAGCAGGAAACCCAGGGGGGGGCCTGCAACTACAGTTCCCAGAGAGCCCGGGGTTTATTCTAAGCAGCCTTGCGGGGCAGGGCAGTTGGACAGCCAATGAGCACTCCCTCTGCAGACCTTGGCTAGGCGTGGACAGCCGTCCACCACTTCCTGGTCACAGGTCTGAGAGACCCAGTAAGCTGAGCTGCGCTGCAGAGTTCTTGGGAAGCCCGGCTTCACCCGTTTCATAGGAAGACCAGGAGGCTGAATTCTATCCAGACCTGAACGGCAAGTTCTAAAGTTGTCCAGAAAGTTTTGTGGTTCATTCTTGGAAACTCATGCTGTACATATTTCACAGAGCATGAGTGGGTATAAGGCAGTGGTTCTCAGCCTATGGGTCATCAGATATTTGCATTACAATCCATAGCAGAAGCAAAAAAGTTATGAAGTAGCATCAAAAAAATTTTATGGTTGGGGGTCACCACAACTTGAGGAGCTCTTAGAGAGTCGCAGCATTAGGACGGGTGAGAACCTCTTGCATGAGGGATGCTTGGCTCAAACTGTCCGGACACATTTTACCAGTGAGAATCTGAGTAACTCTTTTAGGGTGTTACTGCTAAAACCCTGTTTCCGAGCAGTAAAATGAGAGCTGATGCTGGTGCTTACTTAAAAGATTCCTTGCCAGGATTAAGTAGATATATTAACAGAGAACTGTTAGACTGTATTTCCCTCGGGGTAACTTTTGACCCTGGTGTCCACCAGTCCTCTGTCCCCAACAGGGAAAGTCCCAAGGGCACAGTTAACGGTGCGGGGAGCAAGCTGCTAACAACTTGTAGCTCAATCTGCAGTAGCTGAGGAAAAATATCCCAGTGGCCCTGAATGTCCAGCCTCATTATATATAGTGCATCTATGCGTGTCCAGGGGGAGGTCTAGCGTGCTGGAAAGAGCAGTGGAAAGGGCCTCCAGGAGCAAGTCAATGACAACATATCTACTTCATCTTCAGTCAGACTATGGAGCCAGCCCTGAACACAGTCCAGAATTCTTGAGCGGCCAGGAGCCTTCCAAGGCACGGAGCCACAGAGCAAGGGGCCCATGTACTCAGTTCTGGACTGCTTCTGGCTCATGGGCAGGATGGGAACCAGAACAAGCTTCCTGGGCCTCTTCTGAACTGATGTTTGCTTTTTCTAAGTCGTGCGGTGTCATCGTCCCCCATCGACCCCCCCCCACCAGTCGAAACAATGACTCCACCCCATCTCTCCTGAATTCTGCCCAATTTCTGGTGTCCTCAGTGCTTGGGATCCACATGCTTGATTGCTTACTGTCTGTGTCTGTGGCGGTCCTGGAGGCCATCAAGTTGGAAAAGTTGCTTTTTAGGTGTTTTGTGATTGCTTTGGGCAAGGAATATACTCGCCAACTTTTCGACAGCTTCAAGTGCCCTGTTTCATTATACCTAAGCACTCATACCATGCACTGCAGTAGTTTAATCAGAGGCAGTTCTGTCCCGTGAGAAGCCACTAGAGTGCCTGCTTCTTGAGGTTCCAGTCAGAAGCCACCAACTAACCTCTAAGCCTTGGAGTCTAAGGACCATCTACTTTAAGTAATCGAATATATTTCTTTGCATTGTCCGTGTTTTATGAAAGTTGTCAGCCACAGCCCCGTTGGCATGGGATCTGATGCTTCCGGCTTGCTTTCTCAATTGCTGTCTGCTCAAATAAGCTGTTTAATTTGAATGTCCCTACAGTTATCTTTTGATAGTTCCAGTTTGACCATATCGGACCAGATATTTCTAGTTCTGGTCTCCCGTGGTCTTCAGATTTCAATTTTTATTTTGTTTGTTTGTTTGGGCGTGAGTTTCATGGGTACCAGGCTGGCCGTGTACTCCCCGAACTTGAACCTCTCATCCTCCTACCTCCACTTCGTGAGTGGTGGCATCACAGGCATAGGCTTCCACACCTTGTTTCTGCGGTGCTGGGGATGCAACCGGGAGCTTTGTACATCCTGGGCAAGCACTCAACCAGCTGAGCGATACAGCTAGCCTGGATTTTTATTTTATTTTGTGCATACGGGTGTTTTCCCTGCATGCATGTTTGTGCACCATGTACATGCCTGGAACCCGCTAAGGCCAGAAGAGAGTATCAGATTCCTTAGAACTGGAATCATAGATGATTCTGAGTGGCTGAGTGGGTGCTGGGAACTGAACCTAGATCCTCTGGAAGAGCAGCCAGTGGTCATTACCCGCCTCTCCTGACCCAATATTTTACTCCTCTATTCCTTAACAGACAAAGAGGTTTGTCAGCAGGCATAGTGGCCGCCCCATTCCCAGTGGTCCTTCGCTGTGGTCCCTGCCGTGAAGAGGAAGCCCTTTCTGGGGATAGTTACAGTTACTGCTGTTGTCACCCTTGTTACATTTGAGATCATTGCACGCCTGCCCCTTCCCCTTCAAGAAGCACTCATAGTGCAGTGTTTGAGGACAGCGACTTTCCTTCAGTACTTTGGAGACTTAGTTTCATTATTTCACCTGCAAATATGCCTGTGGAACATTCTGGTGCCAGATGGAGAATTTCTTTCTTATGGAGTGCTTTCTGTCTTTGCTGCATGCTCAGGCAGTTCTCTTTCCTTTTGCATTTGAAAAAATGTAATAAAATGTGTTTCAGTATCAAGCTTTTCCAGAAGAGTGTCGCTCTTATTTATCAGGCACAACTTCGTCCACTTTCTTTCTCATCTCTGACATGCACTTGTTTCTCTTCACATACGTTTTCTGTCCCCTGTTAATTTCTCCTCCTGGGTGCTGTGGAGGGTCTTGTCTTTCCTGTCTTTTGTCTCTCTTCTAACCCTGGAACGGAGTTGTCTTTTATTAGCCTTCCCTGTAATTATCAAGCTTCTCTTGAACATGAGATGCTATGGTCTTCCAAAGGTGCATGTGTTAAATTCTTAGTCCAAAGCCTACTCTGCCACTGGGAAATGGTAGAGCCCTGTGGGCAGTTTTACAGTCAGTGTGTGAGTGTGGGGCACACCCTTGAACAGGATGCTGAGACCTCCACCTTCCTCTTTCTCTGACTTCCCTAATGCCATGAAGAGAAATGCTTGTTCTACCACATCGTACTTGTCATGAAGGATTGTCTCCTGACAGACCCAAACATAGTGAGGACAACTGGCCATTGGCTCAAAACTAGGAAACAAAATTAAAGCATCCTTTCTTTTTTTTAATTGCTTACCTCAGACATTTTGTTACAGTAGCTGAAAACTGACTAAGAGAAAATGAATTCCAGGGTTGAGGATTCATTGCTGTGACTAGACCAGTATGTTTCAGAGGCCCTTGGATTTGCCTCACAAAAGAGTTTCAGAGAGTTTGGAGATGCATCCAGAGAATGACAAGAGATCTCCAAGCAGATCTTAACCTGTGATCACTGTGGTCTTAGAAGAGCCAAATACAAATGGAAATGTGGACAGTGATGTACTCCTGGGGTTTCAGATAGAAAGGAAGAATCTACTGGGAATTGGACGAGAGGCCACCCATGTCACACCATGTCAGATGATCCCTCGAGGCTGTGTGTTAGGATGAGCTTGAAGGTGACAGGATTGTTCACTGGATGGAGGAGACTGCCAGGCAGCACAGAATTCAGGGGGTGACACAGACATTATGCTTGGTTGCAGCCAGACAGTGAGATTGGAGCTCAACAAGAACAGAATTGCAAGATTCAGAAAATTTGCAATTTGACCATAACAGGTGCATATATGAAGTTTCATGAATAAGAGGTATAGTTCTCCAGTCTCATAAAAAGAAGCCCAGTCCGATCAGATCATTGGGACAATAGGATAGATGCCTTGGGGGGCACCCCTGGAAAGAGCTAGGTCTCCACTCTCTCAGTCTCAAAGATGTAAAGGTGAAAAATTGCCTCTAATATTTTCTAGGGCAGAATCTTTTGATAAGAAAGGAATTGTGCCTCTCTGGAACCTCATGAATTTTTTAAGCTGCTGCCAATAAAAAAGTCTACCTGTGGGTCTGATGGGCACCAGTGGCAGCCCTTAGAATCTTGCAGCTGTTGCTGGTCTTTCAAATAAAATGCAAGAGTCTGGGCTAGCAAGATTGCTGATCAGATCAACTACTGCAGGGAAACGGGTCAAGGAAGTGTAAACACTGGTCATGGTACCTCAATTAGTGGAATTTCTTTAGTTTTCAAAATCCTGGGGGGTCTTGTGGTCTTTGCATATCATCAGTAGAAACCTTCGTTATACCAGAACATGCTCCTTCTGTCCTCTGATCAAAAGACAAAAAGCATAGTATTTAACATTCAGGAAAGCAATGTGCTTATCTAAAGGCTAGAGTATCTTAAGAAAACCTGATTTCCTTCCTGTGACTCAGCTCTGAATGTCATATCGACGCGTGTGATTGACGATAACGTTGGGGCTTACTCTTTGTCCTACTGGAAGTCTGCTCTCACTTTGGTGCCATTGTTCCTTATCGTTGCTCTGTCTTTTCCCCTGGAATGAGAGCGCTTAACTGGGACATTGTTTATCAACAGCATGTAACTCATTCAAGTTTGCACGGAGGCTCCCAGCTCAGCCAGCCTGGAGTCTCAGGGGAGAATTCTCACTTGGACTTTTGAGAGATACTGGACAGTTAAACTTTAGAGGTCTTGGATATGGAGTAAATAAATTTTGTGCTTTAGAGGAACATAAACCTGTGGGACTGAGGGAAGAACACTGCAGTTTGAATAAGGACTGTCCAAAAGTACATTGCTGTAGATTTTATTCTAGTTCGTGCTATGATTTGAAAGTCACAGCTTTTCAAGCCATCTTGAAGAGCGTTTGGGGAGGCTGGTCCCTTCCTGTCTCATTCTTTACTTTCCATGTTGAGCAAATTAAGCCGCGTTGTGCACAGCATGACCTTGCCACATTGCATTTTGCCACCACAGACTCAAATCCATAGGACTATGGGTAGGGAAGTCCAAACTGCTAAACAAAATGACCTCTCCCTCTTGCTTATGTCTGTGTTCATTTGGGTGAGTGCTTGTGCGCATGTGGAGACCAGAGATTGACCTCAGGGGTCTTCCTCAATCACTGTCGACCTTTGTTTTAGAGACAAGGTCTCTCGCTAAACCTGGAGTTCACTGATTTGGTTAGGCTGACTGGTCAGCAAATGCCAGGGATCCACCTACCTCCAGTCCCTACTCCACCCCACCCTGTAACTGGGGTGACAGATTCATTCCCAGTGCTATGGAATTGCACTCAGGTCCATGCTTATGTGGCAGGTATTTTACAGACTGAACCATCTCTTAGCCCCCAAACACATTATTTTATTGAATTATTTTTAACTTTTGGCTATTAGGATTCTGTACTGTTAAATGCCCATAAGGAAGTTCTTCCTATTGTCCTGTTTCTTCTTCTAATGGTTCTAGTGGTTGTCTTTCTAGGGTTGGAATTTTTTTTATATGTATGCCTTGTCTTCCTCCCCGAATAACATGGTGTATGGTGTATTTTCATGTGTTTTGTTGTATATTTGTAACTCTAATTCTATGTCTATTTATTTCTCGAATCTGCTGTGACTGGTGTGATGTCTGTTGCTAGGCTCACACTCTTCAATCTTGCCAGAGGAAGGGAAAGACAATGAATTTGACAAGAGACTTTTTCGTGGAGATTCTCTGTGTAAGTGGTTATTCTTCTCCTCTCCATCTCTATTAATCTGTCACTTTGTTTTCCTGCTCCAGTATTTCCAAATATAATCATCTCCTGCAGGAAGATCAGATGATCTCGCTGCGTCTTGGTTTTGGTGTCCGTCCTTGCTGTCCCATGGCAATTAGTCATCTGGTTGGCTGCTAGATGACTCATGACTTCTAGACCTCACAATTTAGAGTCTGTCATGGGGCTCCCAGCTCCCGTAACAACTCTGTGAATAAATGTCCCTGCGTATATCAGATGCTCACTTTACTAGTTTGCAGACTCACTCTGTTCAAAATACGTAGGGATTTTTCATAACGTGTGGTCCACATAATACTACCATTTTGTTTTTTAAGAAAAGCTGTCTTGGGGCTGGAGAAATGACTTAGCAGTTAATAGCACTTAGTGTTCTTGCAGAGAACCTGGGTTCAGTTCCCAGCACCCACATGAGGTGGCTCACGACCAGGGGATCTGATGCCCCCTTTTTGTCTCTGTAGCTGCCTGTGGGCGTGTGGTGCACATAAACTCAAGCAGGCATACACATACACACATAAGTAAAAAGATAATGTTTTTAAAAGGAAAAACCAGGTTTTATTTATATACATATATATATATATATATATATATATATATATATATATATTTGAAGTTATTTTTATTGTTTCTACAGTTTTCACAAGAAGAAGAAACATCCTAAGACATCTGAATTAAACCTGCCAACCAGCCTATATTAAGCTTACCAGCACAGGTATGCAGAGCCGGATCGCTCTTGGTGGGCTCCCTTAATGTGTTTCTTCTATCCCCTTCTGTCTTCCTGTGTTGATGATGAAGAGGAGAGGAAGGAGTCTGCTGCTGCGCAGACACGCTGCAGGTCATCATGTGGATCCAGCAGGGTTTCACTAAGGAGTTTCTTGGCAACTAGTTTATAAGTGTTTTCAGCATTTCATTTTAAATCTCGGCCTCAATAATATGGAATTAAAATATGCTTAGGCACAGGCTACCCCAAGTATGGATTGATTACAAGATGGTACTAGTATCGAGGTCCCTAGCAAATTTCATTCCAATGGAGCTTCAATCAATACTTTCCAGTTTGGCATTTTATCATAAAGGGGACTTTTGTTAGTGAAAAAGAAGATGCCTGGAGAAAGAGCGAGGTGGGAAAGAGGGGAGTAGACAGGGATAGAGACAATGAAAACCTTAAATATAAATATAGAACTTAAAGAGAAATATAATTTCCTAATAGAAAGCATGCTGGCTAACGACTTTTCCCCATTTGGTTCAATCTTCCTCTCTCTTCCTAACAGAATTAGTGCAGATTCTGGGATGGGAGCCAGGAGGAGTTTAGGATGTTCTGATAAACACCACTTGTTCTTCCTAGGACTGAATAATACATTTTAGAAGTTGTCTAAATGCCAAAGAAGGGTGACGGTATAACAGAGCTAATGATTTAGGAGAAGTGTTGCCGACATCACTACCAGAGAAAGTGCAAACCCTGACAATATGGGCAGGATAGCTGTGCAACAAAGAAAAACGCTGGAGGGAAGTGAAAGAGAAATATTTCGGTTGTCACCATGGATCTGAGGGCCAGGCCCTGTGTACTGTGTCATTTCAGAAAGCACTACGTTGTAAAGGGGTTCATGTCAGGGTCTATGTTCTTCTATCACAGTCAGTCTCAGTAAATCAAGGCTCTTGGGTAGCAGGTTACCAAAGACTTTCTAAATAGATTGAGTAAAGTGATTTTGTGAAGTGGAGAATTCGTATTACCTATCAGCTAATGGTATTAGCACGAATTTCTTCACTTTTCCGCTGCATATTCTTTGTTAGTGTTGCTTTTTTTCCATTATTTTAATAGATTTGCCTCCGCTGCAGACCAGAAGTCTCTCAACAACATCTCACTGATACATTTGAACAACACACACGTCACGACTCAAACATCGGTTCTGGAGTGTCATGTTTTGAATGGGTACAACTGAGTGCATTTGGTCACTGCTAGTGGTTTATATAGACAACCCATTATCCATAGGTTAGCCAGAAAACTGAACTTGACCTCAGCAAATGTTGTCATGGTGTGACAGTCCTCTAAGCCTTCTGTCCTTAATGCTCTTCATCTCATTTTAGCAAAACTCAGTGTCTCCATTAGCCATAATGGAGCAGTGGGAGTTCATCTCAGTCCACTCTTCCCACCCCCCTGCCCCAGTCATCCTGACTTTCTAGAACATTTATCGAAGACTTTCTATTCCTTCTGCTGGGAACCACCTTCTTCACACATATCCACGGGGCTCAGTGTCTAGCATCCTTCAAGTATGAGTGAGGCTTGCTTCACCCACATTATTTCACAGCAGAACTCCTGTGCCGCTTTCCTTGGTTTAGCTATCCTGTGAACAGTTACCACACTGCTTTTTAAAAATAAATTCACTTGGTTCACTTTATGTATTATTTTAATGCCCACTAAAATGCAAAATTTTGGAGGACAAGGAAATGCTAGATCAATAGTGGGTATCTGGAGGATATTCATTAAACCATTTGTTGAATGAAGGGATGAATTGGGCAATCGCTGTAAATCTTTGAGTAAGTAGCTTAGGTGGTGGAGTGGGCCACTCAGCATGGCCATTATGTTCTCTGTTGCATAATTCTCCCATTTTCATGAATGTCTTAGTTAGTGTATTTATCGCCATGAAAAGACACCATGACCATGGCAACTGTAAGGTGATAGCTTAGAGTTTCAGAGAATCGATCAGTCCATTACAATCATGGCAGAGAGCATGGCAGTGTGCAGGCAGGTGTGGTACTGGTTACATCTTGACCAGAAGGCAGCAGGAAGTTGACTGACTGTCACCCTGAGAGAAACTTGAAAAAAGAGACCTCAGTGCTCACCTCCACAGTGACACACTTCCTCCAACAGGGCCACATCTCTTGATAGTGCCACTTTCTTTCAAACCATCACAATGAATAACTGTTTAGAAGTTTATTTTACAGGATGCCAATGGCAATGTCTACCATTTACTATCAAGAAGACCACATCTAAGCTGTTAGTTTTTTGACTGATCTTTTAATCTGACTTTCTAACATCAAAATCTTGAAAATACAAGAAACAACAAAAATTTCCCTCCAGGGTCACTGAGAATATTTAATGAACTGTAGGAAAAAGCAAGTCATGCAGTAGATGCAATATGATTGTCAATGAGATATTTTCAGGCATTGTTCATATATACATGTTAACAGTCCATTCTAGCTACAGTTAGCCAACTTCAGGACATCCACGGGAACTGTTGTAATGTTTGTTTGGTTTCATGTTGTTTGCCTTAGGGGACCATGGACATCGAAGCGTATTTTGAAAGGATTGGTTATAAGAACTCAGCGAATAAATTGGACTTGGACACATTAACTGAAGTTCTTCAGCACCAGATGCGAACAGTTCCTTTTGAGAATCTTAACATGCATAGTGGCGAAGCCATGGATCTGGGTTTAGAGACCGTTTTTGACCACATAGTGAGGAAGAAGAGGGGTGGGTGGTGTCTCCAGGTTAATCATCTCCTGTACTGGGCTCTGACCAAAATGGGCTTTGAAACCACGATGCTGGGAGGATACGTTTACATAGATCCAGTCAGTAAATACAGCAGGGAAATGATTCACCTTCTAGTACAGGTGACCATCGGTGACAGAAACTACGTTGTTGATGCAGCCTTTGGAGGCTCCCTCCAGATGTGGGAGCCTCTGGAATTAGCATCAGGGAAGGATCAGCCTCAGGCGCCTGCCATCTTCCGCTTGACAGAAGAGAACGGAACCTGGTACTTGGACCAAATCAGAAGAGAGCAGTACGTTCCAAACCAAGAATTTGTTAACTCTGATCTCCTTGAGAAGGCCAAATATCGAAAAATCTATTCTTTTACTCTCAAACCCCGCACTATTGAGGATTTCGAACATTCGAATACCTACCTTCAGACATCATCATCATCTGTATTTGTAAATACCTCGTTTTGCTCATTGCAGACCACAGAAGGCGTGTGCTGTTTAATAGGCTCCACCATTGCGAGTAGGAAATTCAGTTATAAGGACAATGTAGATCTGGTCGAGATTAGGAACGTGAAGGAGGAGGAAATAGAAGACATACTGAAAACTGCATTTGGCATTTCTTTGGAGAGAAAGTTTGTGCCTAAAAGTGGTGACCTATCTTTTACTATTTAGGATGAGAAGCAAAACTGTTTTTCATTATTATTTCATGCTCTTAAACATTTGAAACATATGCAAATGTATTCATAACAGGCCTTAAAGAATCATCACCCAGCTCAATATTGATCAACTAATGCCTTGTTGTGCCTTCTATTTCCTACATTTTATAGAAAAGAAATCCTAGCTGTCCTATCATTTCACCAAGAAAAATACCATCAGTTATAATTAAATAAAAATTTTAATGGATATAACCACAATCCTTTTCAAGATTAGTCATACAAAAAATTTCTTAATGAAGATGTGGTTATCTCGGGAGCCATATTCATTTGTAATAGAAAAGCTTCAAACATTGTTATTGTTGAACTCACATAAAACTTATATTAGTAGTTGACTATGAATTAACAGAGAACTGTAGGCATTAAATTCAGCCAGAATAAATCTGATGTCCCAGGTTTACAAGAAACGTCTTCACAACTTAGGATCAGAATAAAGCGAACAAGAATGAGCCATCATTTCAGTTCCAGGAAACCTCCTAGACCTCAGGACAAAATTCAGACCAGTGCATGGGTCTCTATGTGTAGATGCCAACACAATGACATGGCTTAAAATTTCTTCCAGGGTTAATTTTGCAGACACAGTTCTGTTTGTATTTGATTTTTTTTTAAAGCTATGGGAACACTGATCATTTGGAATAGGTGATTTATACCTTCTGTAAAATTCTTTATAGCTCATAAAATATATGTTATCTGGGGAACATTGTTTATGAAATATTAATTATTAAATACATTAAAATAGTATTGGCTCATAGAATATGAGTCAAAGGTTTGTTGGAGGTATTGGGATGTGACAAGGGTTGGTGTCATCTGTAACACGTGTTCCTGTCATCCTAGTTCAATATCCCTGCTATATTCTTTATTCCATTCTACAGTTTAGCTTAAGAGGAAACAAGCAAGCAAACACGCTTCTTTTTTTTTTTTTTTTTTCCGAGACAGGGTTTCTCTGTGTAGCTTTGCGCCTTTCCTGGAACTCACTCTGTAGCCCAGGCTGGCCTCGAACTCACAGAGATCCGCCTGGCTCTGCCTCCCGAGTGCTGGGATTAAAGGCGTGCGCCACCACCGCCCGGCGCAAACACGCTTCTTAGTGGATCTCTGAGCACAGTACTGGGTAAACTTGTGGATCTGATTCAAGAAATAAAACTGAGTTTGAGATATACATATTCCATACTGGACATAAAGACCACCACTGTAGGGGTAGGGAGGTAGTTCCCAGCACTAGACTACTGGTCCAGTACACTGGAAGCCCAGAATTGTTTACAGCACTACCACACACAAAGTATTTTGTCCTTGGTAAATAAGTAATGTTGGTAATTACTTCCAAGTCTTTCCCTCCTTCTTTACTTCACTCCTGTTAAAATCCTGCTCACATTGTGAGCTGCCTACTGCATGCTTCATGAGAACAGATGCCAGAGATGTAAGTGTATGGCTTGTGCCCCAGAATCTGAATCTCAAAATTCTCTTCATGTTTTCTGACTGGATTCTCTAAGACTGTCGTGTTAGAGTCTAGTCACTCTTCAGGCCACGATACTTGCAGCAGCCTTCACTCCATAGCCACAGATACTGATTGACAGGTGCCTTAGCATCTGAGTCCCTAGCTAACAGGAAGTTCCGATGGAGTGCACAGCAAGGGAAGCACTGGCTTTGGTGCTGTTGGTTCTTACATACTCCTCCCCACTCCCTTCCTAGACTCCTGCCTGGGAATCAGAGATCCTGGCTGCAGGCTCTTGCTGTGAACTTACCCTAACCTCAAAAGGGATAAGAAAGGCTCCTTCCTCTACCACATGGGCTCTTGTTCTCTTCAGAGACCCCACCATGCTGTCTGTCTCTGGAGCTGAGGCCCAAACTCTCCTTGGATCCCCTGCCCTACTGTTGACCCTTGGTCTATGTGCCCATGCTGTTAATAACTCTTCAATAAACCCATTATTCCCCAGTAATCCAGCCCAGAGTGCTCCTGAGTACCCTCCTCCATGCAGACTCCAATGCCAGGGCTCTGGTTGACACTGGATAGTCCAGTATTCTTCAGCCTTCAACCAGTCATATCATATCAAGGTTAACAGAAAAGCAAGGGCTGGGATATCAACAAAAATAGAGGTTACACTGGCACAGGGGTGGTTTTTGTTTTGTTTTGTTTGTTTTGCTTTGTTTTGTATTTAGGGCAATGGTCCTATGTAGTCAAGCTGGCCTTGAACTTGTTGTGTAACTCAGGACGGCCTTGAGTTCTTGATTCTCCTACCTTCACTTCCCAAGGGCTAGGATCACAGGCATCGGCCACAGCGTAGCTGTTTTCCTGTTGTTTTTGTCTTGGTTGTTCGTTTTTTGCAATATTGTAGTTGAAAAGTGCTAGTGGAGGTATAAAAATACACAAGCAGCTTGCCAACAGCTGGTCGTTATCAACAAAGGAAGCAAAATCCCTCAGAACCACACTGAGAGGTATCACTGTGCATGCCTCAGTGACCCAGCTGGACAGACAGAAAGTGGGGATACGGATTCTATAACTCACCCCACTTCCCCGAGGCCCTCCCTCAGAAGCTCAAATTTAAGAATCTTTCTGACTACCCAGAATATAAGAATAGTGTGTGCCAAAGGGGCAACACAAAGGACTGATTCTGTCACGAAGAGTCTTTAGTAGTGTACAGGGAAAGAGCTAAGAAGCCCCAAGCATTATCTGCCAGTATCATGAATATAAATCAAAAACAGAAGAAATGCAAACATATGACATGTGTCTTGTTTACAGCACATGTACAGACACACGTCATACACATTCCACAGTGTCTTTGGGATAGAAACAGAAGGGCCTGAAGATGAGAGGTGAAAGAAAGAAAGGGAAAACATAGATTGATAGAAGGTGATTCATGAACTCAGACTGTGAATGAGACGTCTCTTCCTCCTCTACGTCCTGGATCTGCTTTGCCTGAGCCCTTTTCAAGCTTTGAGCTTCCACAGGCTCTGAGAGCGCAAAAACTGAAATACCAAGGCCCTTCACAAGATACCTTGGTCCTTTTCAAAGAAAGTACTTGAGAAAAAGTTCGTAGGGGCAAGTGGCCCGGCCCTACAACTACATTTCCCAGAGATCCTTGGGTTGGTTTTAACCAGGCATAGGGGGCGGATCAACTTGGACAGCCAATGAAAGCATTTGGAGTCGATCTCAGCCTGCTTCCTGGTCTTGCTGGCCGTGGTCCTAGGAGCTGGGTAAGTGGGGCCTCCCGGATAGACTTGGAACTCGGGGTTTCCTCCTCCCCTAAGAGGAAGACCAGGAGATAACAGCATAACTGGACCGTGAATTTCCAGTCCTAATATTGCTGAGAAAGTTTGGGTGGCACATACTTGGAACCCATGCTATAAATACTTTGTAGTACACAGGGGATTCTAACAAACGTTTGCAAGTGGGTGACAGCCACAGCACGTTCTATTAGAGAGACTTCGAGAGTCATTGAGCTCCTTTAATACTGTTTCCTTATCGGTCACGAACACACTAGTAATGGTGCTTACTTAACAGGTGTGTGAGAATTAAAGAGGTGTATTAGCATCTTAGGAAATCTTTAATTGAATCCCCCGTTGGTTACTTTCAACCGTGCTGATCCCTGCACGTCTAGAGGAATTCATGGAGGGACTTTTGTCATTCTTGAAGAAGGGTTCGTCTGGAGGGTCTTTAGGAGCTGTCGATAACACCAGACATCAACTACTTCCTGTGAACCCACACTGAGACATTACCCCTGAACCCAGACTGTTAGATTACACAGCAGCGAGGAACCAGCTTATGCAAGAGTCTCAGGAGCTGACGGCTGGTGGGCCCTCTTGCTCTGAACTCTGTTCTGTCCTGTGGCCACGATGTCAACTACATTGCTTGGCTCGTTTCTGATAACAGTTCTTCCCTTTCTCAAGCCCCTCCTTTGACTGCCTCAGACTCAAGGCAACTGACTCCACCCTGTCTTTCAAAAAGAGAAAAAATAAGATAAAAAAAAATGCAACTTTTTTTTTTATTAGCTACCTGCCAAAGACTATGTGGCCATGCCATTTTTCTGTGGCCCTATTTCTCTTTTCTTTTGTTTTTGTTTTTCTGGTAGGATCCCCTGCCCTTGCCTGGCTGCTGGGGGCCTTTACTGGAAGCCTGGAGATTTCCTATAACCTAAGGGCAGCTAGTTACTGGTCTTTGCATATGGCCAGGCAAACAAGTCTAGTCTCTTTCATCCAGTTAATCAAAGAGTTTGGGGTTTGTGGTCAATATATTGTGCACCCCAATAAGCTTATCTGGGGATCAGAGAACAGAACACCTGATAGATAGACATAGAGGCCAGAAAATGGTGGCACACACACCTTGAATCCCAGCATTCTGGAGGCAGAGGTCCATCCGGTTCTCTGTGAGTTCCAAGCCACACTGGAAACAACCAGGCATGGTGACTCACGCCTTTAATCCCAGGAAGTGATGGCAGGAAGCAAAAAGGTATATAAGGCGTGAAAACCAGGAACTAGCCTAGTTAAGCTTTTAGGCTTTTGAGCAGCAGTTCAGCTGAGATCCATGTGGATGAGGACACAGAGGCTTCCAGTCTGCGGAAACGAGATCAGCTGAGGAACTGGCGAGGTGAGGAAGCTGTGGCTTGTTTTGCTTCTCTGTTCTTCCAGTATTCACCCCAATACCTGGTTTCTGGTTTGATTTTATTAATAAGACCTTTTAAGATTTGTGCTACAGGGGTTGTTGGATGCTGTGGGCTTCAGAGCAGAAATAAGAGAAAAGTAAAGGAATGAGGGTGGGGGAGGTACACGTACAAAATTACAAGCAATTCAATAGTTCTCATTATAACTCTTCACTGAGTATTGCCAATAATCCACGCAATGAGTATAGTGGCCCCTCAATAGTATATCCTGCTTCTAGCCTGACAGTATGTCACCCACATATCAGAGGCATTCTTCTTCGAGATTCATCTCTAGCTTTTCGATGTTGGCCTGTTGCTCACAACTCCATTTGGGAAAAGAATAAAAAGCTCTCTTACTAAAACAATTGAAAATCACTCTTTTACATGAAAGATGCAGAGGTTCTAAAGACCAGGAGTTAAGCAACAAGAGTTCTGTTTACCAACCTGTTCTCTGGGGTGGTGGGGTGGGGGAGTATCTAAAAAGGACAACTTGTGATTGGTATGCAATACAGTACAAAGGCCAGCAGTGGGTACAACCATCGCATGTTGATCATTAGACCAAATAAATATGCCTGTGATCTGCAGAAAGACCCCTGTGGCACTGAAGACCCCTCTAGAAGTCCCTCCCTTTGTGTATTTTGACCTTCTTATACACAGTGCTATGGACTTGAACACACTTGAAGATGGCCAAATGCAAATTCCCCCAAACCAGATGCTGGGGCAAAGTTACATGTACGAGTGAACTAGGGAAGTGCTGGGAAATGCTGTTTTGCCTGTATAGATTATCACTCTCAAGTTTGTCCCCACAAGAGCAAGGAAGGTGTACTTTTAAGACCTTGTGCCAAGGAGTCCTTGGTCCAGAACTGTGCTGGGATTTACAGCTTGGCATTTACAGCCTTTAGCAAAAGAAGCAAGGAAGCCCCAGAAGCTGCTAGGGTATCCCCAAATAAAATATGGGGTGGAGGGCCTTTTATATATAGGCATACAAGCTATGCCACAGATATAGAAATGGTAAAAAGAATCTACAGGTCTGAGTGAATTACTAACAGGATCCTCACAAGCTCACCTTGGTCTTAAATCTTCTCCAAGTTCCTGTGCCCCCTCTGAGTGCACAAGCATGCCATGTTCTTTATTCTTCAGTGCACATGGTGGGAAGAAGTATGTGTAAGGGGCTTATATAAATCGTGGTATATATTTTAAACTTTATTTTGTTTTTTATTATCATTATGATCATCTATCTTTCAGCAAGTGCCCCTACCCACAGAGCCATCTCACCAGCCCCATACCTTCTTAAGTATACTTTTGTCATTTTAGGTAAGGAGTGCAGTCCAACTCTTCTTGGGCTTTGCCCCTCCTTATTTTATCGCATGCATTTCTGCCTCATATGTCAATAAATGATCTAGGTTAAGGGTTCATTTCTTCTTCAGGTTTGGATACAGATTGTCCCCATGAATAGCTCAGATGTCGAAGGCCAATCCCCAGTGGCTGGTGCCATTTGGCAATGATTTGGTTATGAGGGTGCTCACCTCACCAATGGACTGAGTTCATAGCTGCATGGGCTCTTAGGAAGTAGGGCCTCGTTGGAGCAAGTGCATCACTGGAGGAGTGCCGTAAGGATATATTTTGTCACTGCTTCCTTCTTCTTTGTCTCTACTTTTTGGCCACCATGAGATGAACATGTTTGCCTTGCCATGCCTGCCACCATAATACTTCTGTCTCAATACAGAGCCACAGTAATGGAGTCAGCTCACCATAGACTGGCTCATCTGAAACTGGAATCCAAAATAGAGCTTTCTTTCTTTGGTTTGTTTGCTTGACATGCATTAACATGCATTGTTGTTTAATGACAACAGAAAATAGCTAACTCTCCGTTACAGAGCCTTAATGTGGCCTTTGGACTTGATGACTCCAATGTGTGTGGTTTTTAAGATAAACAATAAGTGAAAGCTGGAGACTTTGCCTATCAGAAGCTGCTAACCCATCTCTGAGGACTTTCTACCTTAGCTCATCAAACACAGTCTTTGTTCTTTGCTTGTTAATCATGACAACAGAAAATAGCTAACTGTCCATTGTTGTGAGATGTCTTTCTGTATGCTGTGAATATCTGTTGCTCTGATTGGTTGATAAATAAAGGGGGCTTGGCCTATGGCAAGACAGCTTAGAGGCAGGTGGGAAATCGAGGAGAGAGACAGGAAGAAGAAAGGCAGAGGCGGAGGAGACGCCATTCCACCATTCATGGAGCGGCATGTAATGGCACACAGGTAAAGCCACAGAACACGTGGTGACATATAGATTAATAGAAATCAGCTGAGTTTAGTTATAAGAGCTAGCTAGCAAGAAAATTAAGCCATCGGCCATAGCCATGCAATTCATAATTGATGTAAGCCTCTGTGTATTTACTTGGATCTGAGTGGCTGCAGGACTGGGCGGGACACAGGAAAACATCCAGCTACAGTCCATTACAGAGCCTTAATGTGGCCTTTGGACTGGGTGACTCCAGTGTTTGTGGTTCACAAGATAAACAAGAAATGAAAGATGGAGACTTTGCTACCAGAAGCTGCCAACCCATCTCTGAAGACTTTCTACATTGGCTCATCAAACACAGCCATTGTTCTTGTCAGGGAGAGTATTGGAAAAATTTTCACCAGCCACAGCCTCACGGGAACACTGAACTAGTTGAGGTCTGTGCTGTCCAACCCATAAATTGTCAGTTCACGTTAGCGATTGTGAAATCAGATGTCCCTGTGTTGACTTTGTAATGGTCCATCAGGTCTTCCCAGTTCTGGCCAATTCTACAGCTAGCTTTATGGTTTACTTATGTCCATCTATTTCTCTATAAGACAAAATGGCTTGACTGGGAGCCATAATGTGTGGCCCTTTTTTACTCTTCCCTGTGTGAAAAGGCGCCAGTGCTTGTACATCCCAGCATGCTGCCCTCTCAGTTTCTTGCTTCTCCCTTTCATCTACCCCTCCACTGGCTGGTAAAGAGGAAGCACTTCACCAGGATGGCCCACAGTTGTTTCTCAAGTTCTTCCACGTTTCACTAGGCAGTGTCTTCACATGCCTAGTGACTTCCTAATTCAGTGGGATGCTAACAGAATAACAAGCAGCTAGTGTGTCCCTTCAGTACTTTGTAAACAGATGCCATTATTTTACCTTTGCATGTTTCTGTGAAACCTCTGTTGCCAGGCTGATATCTTCCTGGTGAAGAAATAGTTATCTCTCTACCAGATGCTTGAGTAGTTCTTTATAATTTTTAGATTTCAACAATTTAAATAGACACAGTCACATGTCATGCACATAGAATTCAATTTTTCCTGGAATATTATCTCACTTGCTTTCTGATATGATTTCTGCAGAATTTTCTTATGCACACATCTTATATCATAAATTTTTTTCTATTCTAATTTGTGTACTTTCCATTTCAGAAACTGTGGTTGCTTTTTATATCTGTCAGCATTTAATTGGCTTTGACATGGCTTTGTCTTTCCATTAGCCTTGACTTACCATCAAGTGATCTTTCTACATACCTAATGTGTTATTGTATTCTGTCTATAGAGTACTGTTCGTCATAATTAATGTAATATCTTGCTTTATGTCCTTAGTTTCTAAGTTTGAAATCTTTCTTTGCATAAACCACATTGTTCAGTCACTGTATCTGTCACCTCTTTGAAGAACTTCTAGAAAGTTTCTTTTTCTATTGGTTCTTTTTGACATGCATGTCATATCTCATCTCCTAGTACCAGTGTCTTGGTATATTTTCATTTGTGTTTCACTTTCTTTAATCATGCATGTGTAACATTGACAATTTCTTCCTTGAATCTAGTTTGACTGGTGAAGTGTCCATCTAGCACCGGGCTTGGACTTAATCATTTGGAAGGGGTAAGAGAATCGAATATGACAGGAGATTCTTTGGTGGCATGTCTTCTACACAGAAGTTGTCCCTCTCCTTCTCCCATGGCATCCACTATCACTGCCTGGGGAACCAGTCCCCAGCAGCACAGGGCTCAAAGGGAAATCCACAGAGTTGGCACATGCTAGCCTTTTATCTGAGGGGGTTAGGGAAAAAGACACTCACACAGTCTCTTGATGGTTTCCTTCTTTATTCTCAGTCCTTCCCTGTTCTTCCTGTGCTCTTTCTACTGTATATTTTCTCTCTACAGTTTATATACCCCAACGAAGTTTTTCAAACAATATAGGAATTACAATGTGGTTATATACTGATTTTTTTCAAGTGAATGATTACAATGATTACAAAACAAACAGAAAAAAAAACAGCATGTTTTCCATATCCCTTACATGATTAAACATTTTACATATTACAGGTAAAAAGCAAATTATCCCAAGAACCCACATACTTCCATACCCAAGCAACTGGTTATAGATTAACAGTGTAGGCAAGCAAGATATTCTTCTTAGCCAGGTTTTTTACTGGCAAGCTTCAGCTTTGCAGTTTCAAAGAAAGAGCCAATTACTTTATTACTTATCATGAAAGGTAATCTTATAAGGAATCTTAAAGGAATCATTTTTAAAAAACCTCATAGGTCTTAACTGTGTGACATTTCCTTGTATTTATTTTTATTCATCAAAACTCTGTATAAACCAACATTATTATTATCAATTAGACAGGACAGCTTAGGAAGGAATCGTCTTCATAATAATCTACCGGTAAAACTGCCCAGTAGAGCTGGATGCTTCCATGAGAAAAACAACTATGTTACAGGCATTGGGGATCTCCCCTCACCATTCACACCATGCCAGATACCAGAAAATGACAGCAGCAGCAAACTAGTAAAGGCACAACAGAAGCAAAAGACATTCTGGGATCTGTGGTCTGGGGGCCTTGCCTAACCGAGATTCACACATCAGGGAGTTTCCTCCTGGTGGGCTGACACCTTGAACTTCAATTGTCACCTGCTGCTCCTCAGACACAACCACCACCAGCAATTCACATTCAGACTGCCACTTTCTCTTCCGGCCCTTAGTCCCCTGCTGTAGTTGTTACCTTAAGGAAGGCCACTGTACAAACTGCTTTCTGTGTGCTGTCTATATTTAGGTAGTAACTAGGGATGTCAAACATGGTTCATCACTCCTTGCTGTTCCTATGGCAACTAATGATGTGTATTGTTGCTTCTGGGCCCTATACTTACGAGAACATGCAGGTACTCCTGGAAGTCCCAGGCTTAGAACCCATCATGGTGCTACCATCTCTCAACATAATACTTTCCATAGGCTTCCCTGCGTAGCTCAGATGTTCACTTCTGTGCAGTCTGCTCCCTGTGTTTGTGATGTTCTGGGACTCCTCATAATTTATGTTACAAATAACTACCCTTTTTCTTTCAAGAAAAGTAGTATTATATCTAGCATTTTATATTTACTTGGGGATTGTGTACTATGATGTGTAGGGCTGAAAATTTATGGGAGCTGGTTTTCTTCATCCACCTTCCAAGTTATGAGGATCAAATTCAGGTTTTCAAGCTTGGAGTCAAGTACTCTGCTCTCTCTAAGACATCCTCCCAGCCCATGTTGTATTTCATTTTTAAACTTTCCTTTCTGAGTTTGTACCAGAAAGAAGAAACTTTCTAATACTTTTGAATTAAAGCCAACAACTGCCTTTGAACTGACACATATAAAAAAAGTACTTCCTAAGAAATCTCAAAGGATCTAACTATATTCACCAGCCTTATCTAAGTCTTGTCTATATTGATGATCAGGCTGAAGAGAGGGTCTGTCCTTACATAGAGACTCTGCTAGCCTGCGTGTGAAACTAATCATATTTTCACTCATCTCCTTTCCTACCAAGTACTCTCAAGGAACTCACAAAATTGTACCTTGAATTTTACCCAACTTCATCAGTATACAGTTGAAATATATTTAGTCACAGAATACCCAGGTATGATTTGCTTACCAGGTATAGCTAGTGTTGAGCCCCATAGCAAAAACTGACTTATTTATAATGAATCTACAGTTACTCGATCTAAATTCCAACTCAAAACTTAGTCTTCAAACAAACACAAAATGTGACTGTTGCTTATAGCAGTATTTCAGTTACTTCACTGTAATGCCTGTAATTTGTGTCCAAGTGTTTGTCCTAGTCCATCCTCTGTGTGTTATTGTTTCACCCTTCTTCCCCAGTCCTGGGGAAGCAGCAGTCAGGAGGCTAGTCATGCATAAACCACCACTGTGCTGCTCCCTTCCCCATGGAGTCAATGTAAATACCGAGTATGGAGCCAAACAGGTGCTAGGGACATCTAAATTCCATTTGTTCTCGCTGAGTGTGAGATGCTTAGCGCTTACATAAATGGTACCATGACAACTGTGTACTGTATTGCACAATTCTCTTGATCCTGTAAGCAACTGTTCAGAAGCCTATTTTAATGGATTCTGATTGGAATCTTATAGTTACTTATCCTTGTCTGGCTTTTTACTTAGTCCCTGTACTGAGTATATACAGGAAGGACTACAGAACATCCTACATTTTATTATCTTTATTTATCTGGCTTGCCATTTAACCTGTATTTCAAGGAAATGAGAAAACATTCATCCTGGGTCGCTGAGACTATTCAACACTTGTCTAAGTGTTATGAATATTGATTGTATGTCAGTTCATATAATAGGGGCAAAATAGACATAGATAGTTGTAAAAATTGTCTGTGTTTATATATTAAAAATGAATTTTATCTGTAGTTATCTCACTCCAGTAAATCCACTAGCAAAAGCAGTAATATTTGATTTGGATTGTTTTCTTTGTCTTAGGGGACCATGGACATCAAAGCATACTTTGAAAGAATTGGTTATCAGAATCCCAGGAACAAACTGGACTTACAAACATTAACTGAAATCCTTCAGCACCAGATACAAGCTATTCCCTTTGAGAACTTGAACATCCATTGTGGGGAATCCATGGAGCTGAGCTTAGAGACCATCTTTGATCAAATTGTGAGGAAGAAGAGGGGTGGGTGGTGTCTCCAGGTTAATCATCTCCTGTACTGGGCTCTGACCAAAATGGGCTTTGAAACCACGATGTTGGGAGGATATGTCTTTAACACTCCAGCTAACAAGTACAGCAGTGGTATGATTCACCTTCTAGTACAGGTGACCATCAGTGACAAGGACTACATTGTTGATGCTGGGTTTGGACGTTCCTACCAGATGTGGGAGCCTCTGGAATTAGCATCAGGGAAGGATCAACCTCAGGTGCCTGCCATTTTCCGCTTGACAGAAGAGAATGGAACCTGGTACTTGGACCAAATCAGAAGAGAGCAGTATGTTCCAAACCAAGAATTTGTTAACTCAGATCTCCTTGAGAAAAACAAATACAGAAAAATCTATTCTTTTACTCTCGAACCCCGAACTATTGATGACTTTGAGTCCATGAATACCTACCTTCAGACATCGCCAGCATCTGTGTTTACAAGCAAATCATTTTGTTCCTTGCAAACCCCAGAAGGGGTTCACTGTTTGGTGGGTTCCACCCTCACCTATAGGAGATTCAGTTATAAGGACAATGTGGATCTTGTGGAATTTAAGAGTCTGAAGGAGGAAGAAATAGAAGACATACTGAAAACTATATTTGGTGTTTCTTTAGAGAGAAAACTTGTGCCCAGGCATGGTGATAAATTTTTTACCATTTAGAATAAGCAGCAGTATAAGTTTTCAGTGTCCCTCCATGTACTTGAACTTTTTATGATAAATTTTCAAGCAGATGTATATGTAATTACATGAGCCTTTTTGCATCCATACCCTAGCTTACCAGTTACTGGTAACTAGTAATTTGTTGTATCCTCTCTACTCCTGTATTTTAAATAGCAATAATTGCATCTTGGATAAACCTCATTGGCTATGACACTGCCACTGTGCAAAGCTCTACTCCTGTATTTTAATAAAAGAAAACTAGACATTTCATTCATAAAATATCAGCACTTCTGGTTACATGGCTTTTGAATGAAACATAGCTAGAAATCAGCCATTCAAAGAGTACTTTACTGATGACATGGACATACTGGTGACCATGCTGATGTGTACAAGAAAACACCCAACATTGGCTTACTGCTAAATTCACATGGAATTTGTGCTAATAGTTGAATAAAAGAAATAGTGAGAAAAGCATTCCATTAAATTCAACCAGCATGAATCCAATATCTAATTTTTATGAGATATTATCTGTATAATTTAGGATGTGTTTGCAGCAAAGAAGAATGGGAGCTAATGTTGGTTCCAAATAACTATGTAGTCCTCAGTATCTGACTTATCCCAACACCTAGGGATATGTGGTTAGGACCAAAGAGAACCAGCCACACAGCTAATGATTTCCTTCTGTGTTGCTTTTGTATCCAGTTCTTTTTATACTATTTTTCTTACTGTGGAAACAAACACCAATGTTTAGAAATTTGAGCTTCCATATTTTAAAAATGTAAGTCTAAAATAATATAAATGATGAAATATCTATGTAAAACAATTTCAAAGAGGTATATTAAAACATGCTGACTAATGTAGTGTGAATGAAAGGTTTTGTCTGGAGGAGTTAGGACATAACTTGGTGTCTTCTCCAGGGGAGTCTTCTGTTTATTTTACTCCTCAGTCATGCTGATTAATCTTTCCTGCTGATTTGACTAGATTTGTAATCACATAGACAAATTCTAGGCATTCCTAGGAGTACTTTTAGAGGCATTTGACTGAAGAGGGAGGACCCAGCTGATGAAGGAATGTGGGTGGCACCATGCCCTTGTTTAGACCTGGGACTGAATAAAATGGGGGGAGATGAGAAAGTGAGCTGGGCGATGTTTAATGAGTTGTTCTCTGACTATGACACAGTGTGACCAGCTGCCTCGTGTTCTCACCTCTGCAGCTAACACTGAGCCCTCAAATTATGAGCTCAAGTATATCTGGGTGGTACTCGTTTGTTTGTGACAAGTCAGCCACAGATTTAGGGGTGTGTGTGTGTGTGTGTGTGTGTGTGTGTGTGTGTGTGTGAGAGAGAGAGAGAGAGAGAGAGAGAGAGAGAGAGAGAGAATTCCAAGCCTACAGCAAATACTAGATAAATAGATGGATGCCTGAATAATGTCATTAAGTCAATAATTTTGACAGTAAGGGAGCTTTTTTAAAAATATAATTCTTTATTGATTCTTTGGGATTTTCATATCGTGCACTACAATCCCACTCACCTCCTAGTCCTTCCATATGTTACCCCTGCCACACAGCACATGTCCCTCCAAAAGAACTCCCCCTCAAATTAGCTCAAAACAAAACCACCTAGCTTCTCCGTCTTTCCAACACCCCTTCATTCATCCTAGTGGCCTCAGGAGCTGCAATGTGTCACACAGTATACACTTTCATCCAATCAGTCCCAGCCAAAAAATGTCCATTGCAATGAGTCACTGGTCTGGTTCAAGGCATCTGGCACGCCATCATCACTGGACCCTCATCAAAACTCCTCTTGACCAGTAGCCCCTTCACACACTCCAGCAAGTCATAGATGGGTTAGATGTTACGGTGGGTCAACCCAAGGCCCAAGCTAAGGGTATGGGTGGTAGCTGAGTTGGTCTGTTGAGGCCACTGGGATTACCCCACTCAGACAAGGGGCAGACCCAGATCTTCTAGGCCCATGCCTATGGTGAGGGGTGGGTGCAGAGGTCCCAGGCCTGGACATGACCATGGCCCTGGGTGGCAAGCAAGAAGCCACCTCAGCCTGTTCCTCACTGCTGTCACCTCTTCAGATCTGCCTCTCTCCAAAGGAATTGGACCAATCTGTTTCTCTCTCTCTCTCTCTCTCTCTCTCTCTCTCTCTCTCTCTCTCTCTCTCTCTTTCCCATACCACACCCTACATTTGCTCACCACAAGTGTCTGACCACCCAGCAGCCACAAGGTGCCAGGCGGACCTGTGTTTTCTACTCAGTGCCTGGGGCAGGCTGCCCCATTGGCACTGGCATATTTCTTAATCACAGACAGTTCCCAGCTCTCAGGACATAACAATATATCAGGACATGCTTCTGGATATTTTTGAGACTTCTGTATTTTGAATTTTTGAAAATTGTGTGTGTGTGTGTGTGTGTGTGTGTGTGTGTGTGTGTGTGTGTGTGTGTGTATCTGTGTGTATGTGTGTTTGGAGAGTTTTTAATGGAAGTTCTTCCATCTTGCTTTAGTGTACTCCACAAATGTCCTGTCTTCTGTTTGGCATGATTTCCCTCTAGCTTGAAATCCTGTCCCACTATCACCCAGTGGCTTTATCCCTGATGGAAGATTGATAGCAGACCCAGAGACCTATGAGTATGACTACCACATCAAGCTTAGAGTGTTGGCTTTTCTATATCTCACATTTTCTGTTGTGTTTCCCAGTATTGGGGATAGAATGTAAAATCCATACTTCTGAGAGTAGTTTTCTCTCTTCGGCTATGATTATCAAGGAAATGTGATGTGAGAAGCAGTATTAGAGTAGAGGAAAATTCTTTAAGCTGGCAGGTTTCCACAGGGATACTTTATATAGTGATGGAGATACAGGGGAGTGTGCATGTCCTAGGCAGAGTGTGACAAGAGGCCTGACCTGAGTAAAAGTGGATACTGGAGTAATGCTTCTATTGATGAGGCTTTCCAGCTTCCCTTCTTTGGCTTTGTGCTGTAGATATCACTCTGTATGCTGTGAATGTGTTGCTCTGATTGGTTGATAAATAAAAGGCTGATTGGCCAGTAGCCAGGCAGGAAGTATAGGTGGGATAAGCAGACAAGGAGAATTCTGGGAAGAGGAAGGCTGAGTCAGGAGACACCAGCCTGCCATCCAGGGAACACCATGTAATGGCACACAGGTAAAGCCACAGAACATGTGGTGACATATAGATTAACAGAAATGGGCTGGGTTTAAGTGTAAGAGGTAGTCAGTAGTTAGCCTGAGCTAATGACTGAGCAGTTTTAATTACTAAAAGCCTCTGTGTGTTTACTTGGGTCTGAGTGGCTGTGGTCTGGGCGGGACACAGAAAAACCTTCAACTACATCTTTGTTTACCTCCACTGCTCTCATTGCCAGTGTCAAGTCTTTCTGGTATCTGAACAGAAGAGAATTCCACAAGTTGATTGAGATCACGCCATGGACACCACACGGAACCAATCCAAATGTGGCCCTTGGAGAACAATGAGGTTTTAGAACACTTTCAGTGAAGTTATCTGTACAGTGAGTGCCCTAATCCCTGTCCAGTTGCTTTTCCTTAAAGCTTTTCACTATGTGGGGAAAGCAAAAATGTATCAAAAGACACAGATAGATACAAAATGTAGCCATCAGGACTTGAGTGCTGACTTCACACTGTTAGTTTCTATCAAATGAAATTCAAATAAATAAAGAAAGGAGAATCTCACCAAAATTTATAGTCAGAGATTTTAAGAGAGCCCTCCATTCTTTGTGGTTACCCAAACTGTTGTCTGTCCTTCTGGCAACCCGATAGAGCTTAGGATATGCCAGCTTCTGTCAGAGCTTCTAGACTAATAAGGTAAAAGAAGCCTGACCCCATGGATATGTCCAGAACAGTTCTCAATAATGACGTGTACATCCATTCCTTCTGTCTTTAAGATGGAGCCAAGTGAAGCCCATATCCTACTCTATACTATGCAGATAGAAGAACTGTGACAAATGCCAGTGTCCCTTTAGTCTTATTAAGGGTTCACCTTTTAATTCTTGAGAGGAAACCACAGGAAGTAGGTTCATTGCATATTTACATCTGCATTTTCTGTGGTCTAGGACCACTGAGGATGGAAAGCCCTGGAGCAGCCAAAACAGTTCTATGAGTCATTTTTATAGTAACATGTCTACATTGAACAAGAAGAAAATATCAAATAAATAATCTAACACTATATTCTCAGGTACTAGAAAAACAGAAACTATCTAACTTCAAAGTTAAATAGGAGCAGAGTGTAAAGATAAGAGCAAACCTTCAGAATGCACAGTAACAGAGCAATAGAAAAGATCAGCAACAGAGTTGGACTTTGGAAAAGTTAGATGTACTGGAAAACTATTAACTAGATTACATAGAAATTAAAATGTACTAAAACTGATGAGTAAGGGGGAGACCTTATAACTAGCAACAACCACAAAGGTTTCTAATGATTATTGTGAACAATGAATGAGTCAACAAATTAGACAACTAAGGAAAAGATAAGGTTGTAGAAACATAATGTACCAAGACTGAACCAGAAAGAAATAGGATATTTGAATAGACCAGTAATGAGAAAGGGCATTTAATCACTCATTAAAAGTCACTAATTGAAGAAAAACCCAGAACAATAGGACTTGATAGCTGAATCATTTGAAGAAAAAATAATAAAAGTACTTCTAATCTCTTCCTGCAAACAGAAGAAGGAAGGAGGCACATTTCTAATCCTATGTCACCTGACCAAAGCCAGTAATGTCCCCAGAAACAAAAACTACAGCCTAGTATTCCTAATGACATAGATGAAAAACCCTCAAGAACAGTGTTTCCAATAGCATATCAAAGGATCATTAACATGATATGTAGGATTTATTCTGTAGGTGAGAGAATGGCCCAACACACACAAATCAGTTAATGTGATTTGCCATACTAACAGTATACAAGCTATATAATCACTGCAAAGGATATAAGGAAATTCTGTTAAAATTTAACTTATTTTCCTCATTAAAAACCCTCAATGACTTTTGTCACAGAAAGAATGTTCCTCAAAAGAAGAAAAGTCACATATGACAAATTCACAGCTAACATTATAATCTAAGGTGAAAAGTTAACAGCCTCCTCTCTCAGGTCAACAGTGAGACAAGCATACTTACTCCCATTCTGTTCAACCTAGTGTGGGACACTCTAGTCCCATAGGAAATGAGAAGGGTTCAAATGAGAATGCAAGAAGTGAAATCCTTTGTCTTTGCTAACTGTGATCATATATGAAATCCTATTGTCTCCACCAGAGACTTCTTTTTCATTCTACACACACACACACACACACACACACACACACACACACACACACACACAATTGTTTGTTTTGTTTTGAGAAAGGGTCTCACAGTAGCCATGGCTGGCCTGGAACTTGATTTGAAGACAAGGCTGGCTTTGAACTCGGAGATCTACCTTCTTCTGCCTCTCAAAAGCTGAGATTAAAGATGTGTATCATCATTCCCAGCTGAGACTCTTAGAAATAAACTCAGTAAATTTGTGTGATATTATAGTAATCTTTAAAACTCAATAGCTTCTCCAGTGCTTATTCAACCATCATTAGAGAAGCTTCCTCCTGCAACATGTGGGAATGAATACAGAGACCCACAGCCAGACAGACAGAGAGAGACCTTGAAACATACAGCTGTAAATGTGGTAACTCCATCAAATCCCCCACCTCAGAGCTCAGGGAAACCCACAGAAGAGGAGACAGAAAGAGTGTATGAGCCAAAGGGGATGGAGGACACCAGGAGAACAAGTCCCTCTAAATCCACTGAGCCAAACTCACAGGAACTCACAGAGATTGAAGCAACAGGCACAGGGCC